ATCAGTGTGGCCGTTTGGAGAGACACCTTCAGTCCATTCCACAGTGTAATTTTCAGTGGTTTTCTTTATCTTACATTTCACATTGACATAAAAGATGTCCTCAGTAGTTGTGCAACGGGGAAATCTTGGCTCTGCAGAAATTTCAATCTTGGGTAGGAGGCATACATCCAATGGCGCACTGGCTTTGTTTTTTATTATTGTTTTGTTTATATGTTGTTCAAAGAGACATATGTACACTCCTAGGTAAATAGGAGGAGGATTCAGACAGAGGCAGCATGTGTAAAAAATATCTCACAGGATTAGACAGGCATTATATAAAAAACATTAAATCAAGATTATTTCTAATTTCCTACTGTTTTTGACAAGTAAAGCACTAACAAAGGCACAGTAGTTGCCTAAACAATGAGAATGACTTAGAGCTACAATCAGTCGCAAAACACAGATTAGCGTTAAGGGAACTTGTCTTCTTAGTTTAACTAAAATGGTCAACTTTTACAGAGCATTGTTACATTTCCTCAGTGTAAATCTGAGATAATGGCAACTTTTGTTAATTACATAGTTTGTTTTAGAATTGATTTAAGTTTTCATTATGACAGGTTTCTTCAGTTTGCTAAAGTTTTGCTTTTTGCATGTTTATGTTTTTTGAGTAAAGGCTACTGGCCGCTACACAGCCTAAGCCTGAGATGCACTTGCCAAGGGTCATAGGTCATTCCTCAGTTGGCCCGCTATCGGCCAGAGGAACTATGATGCACACTAGGCTAAGAGAGGCATTGGCAACCTAATACCAAGAAACTTAAGCAGACGCTGGAGGACAAGAAGCCTGTATAAGAGGTAGAGCTATACCTGCTAGAAATAGTACGCCTCACCTATACACACAGGCTAGTTGCATCCACATGCTATTAGAAAGGAGAAAGAACACTGTCTGTTGTCTTGGCCTATTGGCTGGGTTATAGAAACCAGTAGCCAGTCTGCTTAATGTTCTTGACTGGAGGGAGGAAACTGGACAATGCCCTCTGCTGGGTGACTTCTGCACCCAAATGTAAAGCAACACTGTCATGATCTGTTGATCCAGATTTTTGGTTCCGTTCAAGTTTTCACTTTCGGTTTTTAGTTAAACTGTCAGAGTTCTGCCTTCTGTTTAAGTTTATTTTTAGTTTCTTTGTAATTCTGTGTCTTTGTGGTTGTTTTTATGGTTTGTTGTGTTTTTGAGTTGCTCTTCCTTGTGCTTGTTTCTTGGCTTATACAAGGGCGCTCTGTGATTGGTTGTAAACCATCCCATGTTTAAAAAAATGCATTTGTGTATCAAGGCACATCAGGAGAGACTAAAAACTCCAAACACAAATGCAGTGAAGTTTAAAGACCACTGGTACTTTGTAATTTAATTTATAATTGTTTATGGACCAGAAATACCTCTGCGAATCATGTGCTGTGCATGTGTGAATATTGTAGTCTTGCGTGAATCGTGCTGTGTGTGTGTGGAGCATGTACTGTGCATGTATGAATCATATGTGTGTACTTGTGAAAACTGAGACCAATTTAGCTTCACAGTGTTTGTCTATTATTTAATATCTTTATAAAACACATAAAGGTCAGTGCTCATAGTAAAGCCCCTGTCACACCTTGATATTTAGAGCAGCGTATGTATGCCTGATGTACGGAAAATCTGGCAAAAACGCTGGCATACGTTGGATAAGTTATGGGTAGGTTTTATATAAGTTATGAGCAGCAGTACGCTGAAACACACTGGCACACGTCAACATATGGCATGTACTTCAAGAGGTATGCCAGCATATGCTCATACGTGGTGTATAAGTTACACATAAGTTATCAGATCACTGACATACGTTATGTGTAAATTACTCATAAATCATGGCATCTAGCTTATCCAAATCCTATGAGTAACTTGTGCATAACTTATGCGTAACTTATCCAGAACTTCTCTCCAACGCATATCAACGTATTTGACGTGTTCTAGACGAGCGCTGATTGTGTTTCTAACTTCCAGCTACTGTATAATGGCGTATTGGAAGCGTTTTGGTATAAAGGGGGTTCACAAGAGGACAGGGTCAGTTCTCCTCTGGACTTCATCCCCATCATAGAGTGAGTGTGAAGGTGAGTGTGATGGATCCTCCCTGCGTTCACGCCAATGACCAATAAACTTCCTAGCAGACATGACTCTGAATCTGCTGCGATTGCAAACCTTTCTTTCTTTTTGTTTTGTATTCTTTCTTTTTATGGCAGGCGGTAAACAGCAGCTAGGTTAATACCCCGCTGAAAGACATCTTTTTTGCATGTAAGGTACCTCTGGGCGCGTTGCTTACCCACTCAGGACACTGGCTTGTGACATTTCATGGGCATTACGCTGCCCTGCGTTATGCATAAGTTGGCTGTCGTTAAACAGAAGTTCTGGACTCTTTATAACTAATCTATGTATATGCCCAAAATTGAAAAAATACATAGAAAGTTCAGCTTATGACAGTGTTTTATAAGATTGTGGGACATCATCAGGCATACTCTGGCTAAATCAGCAAACTGTGACAGCGCTCTGAGGAAAAAGGCAGTGTTTCTTCCCAAAGGGTTACTGGACCACTGACTGGGCAGAGATTCATGCATATTATACTTAATTTATAACAATGCAGCTTTAGAGATAAGACACACAGAGCTCCATTTTTGAAAAACGATACAAAAACACATTATTTTGATAAATGAAGTTAATATCTTTGCAAGCAAAAGATATGAAATGTTGTAACGTTAACAAACATACCTTCCCAGAGTTCATCTGTTGTTTTTAATTCAATGGAGCTGTGCTTTGCTTCTTTCGTCAACGTTGAGATTCTTCCATTAGTTATAAGAAACTCTTTACCGTCTCTTTTCAGATTCCAGTTTGGCTCAGCATTCAGGTCTTCCAATGTTGTACACTGGATTTTAGTGGAAGCGTTGTACTTTACTGGTTGACTTGGTAATGTCAAATTGACGACACCTGAAAGGATGAGGGATTTAAAAACTTATGCTGTCCAAGAATTTATAGTCCCAAAAAAGAAAGAAAAAAAAAAAAAAAACTAAACCATGATAAATTTGAACATATCTTTATACTGACAATATAAAAAATGTTGCTTTTAGATATGAAAAAAAAAAGCTTCACTACAGAGGCAGCACAAGCATGATCCCACCATACTAGTTTAATGAATGAACCTTCGTATTTGACTTCATCATTTTCCTCACTTTTAGAGAACTTGGCTAGCCTGAATATGGTTCAGGTGGCTCAGCATGTTCTAATTTTTTCCTCCTTTAACCAAACCACAAAGAAGTGTAAAAGGATTCGAACATGAGATGGCAATAAAATCTGGGGAAAAAAACTAATTTTTTTTAAAAAATTCAAAAAAAG